CCCTGCTTCCACACCATCCGCACATTGCATCAGGCACATCCTTTTCTTCTTTAAACTTCTCACCTTTCAGGATCTCATCATCTCCGTCCAACCATGACTTTCTCTGTCTTGTTCTTCCTCTCAAGCCATTCATTCATAGATCTGGTTTGCAACAAGGTCCTCATTCTTTCTCTCCATGCAGTATTCTTTTTTACGGGTTTCTCTCTTTTTTCCCCCCAATGAGTCCACATCCATTCAGCACCCATCCCGTCCTGCTCCCCTCTCTTCTCATTTTACTATGCACAGTTCTTAAACATCTCATTTCTACTGTGTTCAACTGACTGCTCAGTTTCTCCTGATCTACTCAACTCTCATTTGCACATAACATGACGGGCAGAATCAGCCTCTGGTCTGGCAGCCATTTGTGCCTCTTTCATCTGTTCCTCACACTCCTTTCATTCATTCTTTCATTCACTCCTCACAGACTAGCCACTCTGTTCCTAACAGCATTTTTATGTCTTCAGATCTGTCCCTCTCCCAATCTTTCATAAACGTTCCACCAAGGTACACAGATTCATCTAACTGATTTGGGTTTTTTTGTTTTTGTTTTTTGCCATTGACACGAGTTCCTTTTTCCTGTGAAACACAACTATTTTAGACATTGCTCTGTTCATTTTCATATCCACACTCCTGGTTGCGTTGTGCAATCTAGCATTCACCACAAATCATTCCGGCTCTCAGTCACCGGCTCTCAGTGTGCAGGACATACACACAAGTCATGCCCCTGATCAACACACCTTAGTGTCACCAGGCAGAAGCAATCCTTACACGCTTTTCCCATAAATTCATTAAACAACCACGGGGACATCACACGTCCTTCTCATACTTGCTATTCACCGCTGAATCATTCATAAAACTTCCCACTTATTCTCACATACTTCCACCATATACTTCTCCTACTGCAGTCAACAACCAATTCTCGACTTCTTATCTGTGCAACGTAAATCATAGTTTGGAATTCTGCTATGCATCTTCCCAGGCCCCCATAAAAAGGACTTTTTTCAGTATTTCTTTCTATGGAAGTCCAGCAAAGGCGCTCTTTCCATGATCTGGCACCGATGGATCCCTCATGTCCGTATTAAACCAGTTGCCCAGCCACTTCATATAAGCAAGCTACATCCATATTTTAACATTTCTTCAGTTATCCCATCCCAACTGTAACTCTACCGTATTTCAATATTCTTGCAGCATTTGTGGCTTCCCGTTCACCTCTTTCATTTTTATAAGCTCCCATTTATTGCATCCCATTCAGTGCCACGCTTTGGCGTGTAATGATCATTCCCATACAGATCTTCTCAACACTCCTCCTAGCATCCTCTCCCTTTGGGTCATCCTTTTTATTTCAACCCCATTCTCTCTGCTGGAAGGGCCTTCTTGAGGCCTCTTCACCCACTTCCAGCACATGTGCTTATTTCCATTAAAAATCTTCTGCATTTTCTCATCCTCACTTAATCTTAAATGTTCCTGCCTTCCTTTGACTGGGTCTCTCCTTTTCTCTCTACAGTATTTTCCTCATTTCTTAGAGCAATTATTGCATTCATTTTTTTCTCATCCACGGCCCTTTTTTCATCGTTACGCCAAGCAACCTCTTCACACTTCTCATCAGCATAACTCCTCACACTTGGGTGGCCCTCAGTAACCGTTTCTTCACTCCATTCCTAGCAGCAAACAGGTCCTCTTTGCATGCATTCTGTGGGGAGACTCTCTTCCAAATGCCTTTCATACAGGACTCGTTGTTTCTCCTCCGGCACCCGCTCATTTCTTTCACTTCTTTCTTTTTCTTCCATAACCATTTCCCCTGATGTTCCATTCTTGACTCTACCAACAAATTGTCAATCCCACCTTGCATCCTGCTTTAATTCCTTCAAACTTTGATCATAAACTCTAAAGTCAGTTCTGCTCTTTGATTCATTCCTTTACGTGTCCTTGCACAAACAGACTGAAACCCTCCGAACAAACAGACCTTTTTCTCACCAAGTCACCCTTCTTATGGCTTCCTGGGTATCTGAAAGGCCCAATCCGGTACTCTCTTATTTGCACTTACCCACTAATGCTCTCTAGCAGACTGATTTTTTTTCAGCTTGCATTGCATTCATTTGCAATTCTTTTCCTTTCCCTGGAGCATAACATACAACTATCACCAACCTACGGATTCCCACTGGCTTACAGACCCCCAACAACCCATTTGTATCCATTCATACTTTCCAACGTTCATTATAAGCCTTTCCATTCATAATGAAACCAACATTCCACTTTCCTGCAGATACTCTTCAACTCCCCTCTACGAGATCATCCAAGCCTAGCACATCCTTCTACTTTCTCTTAGTTTCACAGCCACACAAAACATCTATTTTTCTTTCTTTCATTTAATCCATCAGTTCAAGCTCTTTGTCATTCATTCCTCTGACCCTCTCAGTTGCAGTCTCCCTAAGCTTTGGGGATCCCCAGATGGGCCCAAAGAGAATGGTCTCTCCTGGCTTCGATCAACAGAGACTTTCACATCATGCTTTTTGGGGAGATAAAGAAAGTGTAAACTAGGCTACCAGCCTTAGTCACATCTGTGCCACGTGCAACATCCTCTGCGAACAGGAAGGATAGGATATTGGGCACACATGGGCCAGGATGCCCCAGGCACAATTAAATCCCAGTTTCACCTCAAGTATGTTCCCTCTGTTCTCTATAAGCTAGGATCTTTACTCTAGAGACCACTTGCAAGCCAACATATGTTTGCCTGCATCCTATCAACTAGGTGTTACAAGCAATTTCCCCAAATGGCAACATTCCTATTGAACAGCTCCAGGGAGAACGGCTTTCTTTGTTTAGGTCACTCTTAGCATCACATACAATGACATTACTATATGCAGAATGCTCAACCAAAATGGGTCTCCTTTCATTGGGAAGTGCTGCCCTTACTCGGAATTGGCTTTGTGGTGAAGCCAGATCCAAGCGAGAGCAATCCTTCTTGTCCTTAACTTAGAGCGTTATGTAGAAAAGAGTGAAACCAGAGTTGGCACTAGTGCGGTAGGAAAAAACCGGGGCAACTTCTACCCCACCCCTATCCCCCAAACCAATCTCCCATCCCAGCCCAAATTTATTAGAATGAAATGAGAAAGTCTGGCTTGGCTCTATCCGATAACAGTCGTGCTGCCGAGAAAGCCATCTGTGAAAAGGGAAGAAAGTAACTTCCCGCAGCTTGGAACATAAATGTAGCCGAAATGTTTCACCGAATCCGTATTATCCAAGCCAATTGTGCTCTGTTGGAGAGAGAGAAAGAAAAAGGGAACAGCAGCCGCCGCTGAAGGAAGGAACAAAGCAGCTCTGCGGGTGAAACTGGAAAATGGACGGACAATTATCTTCCTGTATCATTCTGAGACAGCCCATTACAGGGCCACTTCTGCAGGGGCTATCTTCTAAGCAAGCTGGACATTCAGTCCGGGTTAGAGTGACCCAGCCCTTGAGGAACAGCAAAAGCCAGAACTTCCTGAGCGTGCAAGGGAAATGAAGAACTTCCTGAGCGTGCAAGGAATGAAGGCTCTGGAAGAACAACAATCGAAGAATGGTTGATCAGATGCCACAGAACCGAGCTGCTGCCGCCCACCAGGACTGCAATGTATCTTTTGCAGCGAGACCCCAACCTCTAAATGCAGACACCACCCTTGATCTAGGGGGTCAGCCAGAGTTCGGGGTGTCTGCAGCAAAGCAGGACAGATGTAGCGACACCCCCCTACTTCAGTGACATCACTACAGGCAGTCCTCACTTAGCGACCACAATTGGGACCAGCAACTCCGTCACTAAGTGCCGCGGTCGCTAAGCGGAAAATCACGTGACTGTGACCGGCTTGTGACCTCTCTTCCCTTTCGGCTGTTAAGCGAGACATCACGTTACCACGACTTGCAATTTTACTTCCGTGTTCTCCATTCACTCTGCTTGTCCCAGGCAGGTGTGAGATTAGGCTGAAGCCGCCATAACTAAACATGAAGCGGGCATGTAAACAGAGAGGACAAAAGAGCAGGACTCTTGTCAAAAAGATACCACCCCCAGTGTTATTAAGGCAGCTTACAAAGCACTGTTAAAAGCTTCAGACTGAATAAAAAAGTTAGCCAAAAGCAGGACAATTTTATACAATTCTAAGAGGCTGAAATATTGAGCACAGAAGAGAAGTTAGTTAATCCTAAAACAGTCCTTGTTTTAGGAAGAAGGCTAAAGACTCTTCTCCCTCACCCCCTCCCCCGAATACCTCCAGATAACCCAGCCAGTCTTGGCTGGTCTCACAACTTTAACAAACTCCGATATGGGTAATATTTGGATGGGACACCATCAAAAAATCCCAGGGATGAAAATTAGGCTGTAAAGTTGAAGAAACATCCCAGCAGGAAACATCAAAACCCTTCCCCACTGCTGTCAAGCAAACCACAAGGAGTTGGTTCATGTAGTTATTCTGAGTTGACCTTAGCCTAAAGGAGGCTTTTCCTTCGCCCGACACTTCCGTTTGGGAAGCTAAGCTGCTGTGAAAACATCAGGACCTTCCTGAGAGGCATCTACGCAGTCCCCCCGGAAGGAAATCCAGACCCGTGACCGGTATGGACTTCTCTGAGCCTGGGAAGCAGAACGGACATTTGCCACACGTGGCAGAACCAGCAGAGACGGACATTCCGTTTGCATCTCCTGAAACCTTCCCCTGAATCCAAGAGACCATTAGAAAAAGGATCAAAGGCATCTCGGAGGCCTTGCCTGACCAATAGGAGCTAAATCAATAGGATCAGTAGAAGCTAAACCTGATCAGTAGGAGCTAAAGGACGCATCTCCGGTGTCCCAGATTCAGAAACTCAACCTCTTTTCCTTTCAATATATCTGATTACGGAGAGAATCCTGCTTTCTTGGGTGGCCATTCAGGGTGGCCATTCAGGGCTTGGCGATATGTGGGATTTGGGCATGAGATGCGACCCCAAACATTGCTTACCTTTTGCCCTGGAATTCCAGGTGGGCCTGGAGATCCTCTTTCTCCCTGGGAACCTGGTATCCCAGGATTACCACGAATACCCTGGACGCCTTGCGCTCCAGCAGGCCCTGGTGCCCCAGGTTCACCCTAGTGGAAAGGAACCATAGCTATCAACCAGAAGGTGAACAAAGATAGTGTGGGAAGAGGGCTTATGATGTTCATTATCTCCTCTCTTCTTTACTGGAAATTATTCACTTCAGATGTTGGCAGCTGGAGCAGCTCCAGAGTATACAGCCCTGGTCCTTGGCGGCTCTGAACATCTAAGTGAAGATTTAGGTGGCTCAACAGAGGCAGAACATCCACAGGGAGGGTCAAAAAAGTCCAAAGGGTAGTCATTAACATGCAATCAAAGCCACACTCCTTTTTAATGTGAGTCATGATTGCCATCTTGATTGTTTGACCCCTTCTGGGGTGTCCCTGGGAGTATGAATTGATCCCACATCTGCATCTTCAAAAACATCACCCAAGCTTTTCACTGCACTGACCTTGCGTCCAGGAGGTCCAGCCTGGCCAGCAGGTCCACGGAAACCAATCCCTGGTTCTCCCTTGAAAAGCAGATGAGAGGGGGGGAAAAAGAGGACATGTCAACAGCCACTGGCAACTGGCACCCCCCAAATTTGGTGGAAGGCTAAGGCAAAGGACATTGGTCTCATCTTGGAATAGATTGAGAAAGCCCATATAATGGGAATTGGGCAGGCTTCTCTCTGGCCAGCTGATCAGGGTGGCATACAGAGAGATCGTACCTCCTGTTTTGCCTTGCCCCAACAACCTGTGGTGGGCTGGGAGAGAGGAAAAGAGAATTGAAATAATTTACTGTTGAAAGAAGTGAAATGACTATGCTGGAGAGCGGGCTGTTGCAGAAGTGAAAATTGGGTATGTCGGGAGAAACCGAAAAGTGAAGGCAGTGGAAAGAGGGGACGTAAGAAGTGTGCAGAGTAAAACAAAAGGAGAGGGGTATCCACAGGGAGGGGGTCAAAAAAGTCAAGATGGTGGCCACCTCCATGTGATCAAGGCCTCACCCCTTTTTACATGCTACACGCATAAAAAAGGAGAGCTTCATTTGCTGCCATCTTGATGGTTTTGACCCTATCCTGCAGACGTCCTGACCCGCAGATCCATTGGACATCCTTTTGGGTGTTTTAAGAGTGCTACCCTACCCCCTTCTTGGTCATCTTTCCTCAGCTTATCCAACTCCTTCAATCCCTGATCACAGAGCTGGATTTTGGGGCACACGATCATTTCCCGAGCCGGCTCCAATTGTCTGAATGCTTCTTAAACCCTGAACTGGACACAGTAGTTGAGGTCTGACCAAAACCGAAGAGAATGGGACTGTTTCATCCCCTGATCTGGAAATAAGACTTCTGCAGAGGCAGCCTCAACTGCATTTGCCTTTTTTGCAGCTGCAGCACACTGCGGGAACCACGTCTATGTGGGTCAAGGGGGATGCTGCACGGGAGCTCTATCTCAACTTGCCTCCCCCAACAGCAGCCCAGTCAAGTCTGACTCAAAACCCCCTGCCCCCCAGAAAAGGTTGCTCTCTGCTGGAATTCACACAACACTCTTAGTCAGATCACTGGGACTTAGCCACTGGATTTGCACAACGTCTTAACCTTGCTTGGTGTTTATTATGGCTTAGCCACAAAAGCAGTGCAATTAGCTTGTAGCTTGGTGTCTTGTGCAAACCTGGACATAAACTAACATAGAGCACAACCCATACTTGTAGATTGAATATTCCCCTTAAATCAGCTGCTTTCAGTGGGGCTGCTGAGAGTCCCTTCCTTTAAAGCCCAATTCCTTTACCTTTTGACCAGCTTCACCATCACTGCCTTTGCTCCCCTGGAAGATAGAAAAGCAAAAGATAAGTCTCTAGTTCTCATGGTTCTGCACGTTTGGTTTGATGGATACGTGCCAGGGTATTGCTCCGGGTTAGATGCAAACTGTGAGTAGCAGGAAGGAGGATTCTCTAAGGCAGGAGAGTGCAATTTTATGCAACTCTTTACCTTCCCAGAGTAACTTTTTAAATGCTATTTAACAGTTTTCATTATTTGGGGGGTTATTTATTCTTTTTGTATGCTGCTCAGAATCATTGGGTGATTGGGCTGTATCAATTTACCAAATAGATAAAAAAACTCACTGCATGTAATGAGCTGTTGGTGTAACCAAGTCCATGATGACTTTGGAAAAGGTGGGGCTAAAGTGCAAGAATGGAGCAATTTATCCCCCGTTCCCAGTTTATTTTCCCTGTTTTTGCTTGAAAATCGCTGCACCAACATCTGGCCATTTTGCTGCAGAATTTCAGCAGTGCACTCCCAGGACACTGGGGGCCCCCAAATGGGGTGGGTGGGGTCTGTCTGTGTCCCCCAGGTGGTCCACCTCTGTTTTATGGCTTAGCCTCTTGGAGGAACCCAGACAAATCACAGTTTGTCCAACAAACCATGGCAAACAAACTATGGCTTAGTGTGAAGTGTGAATCGGGCCACGTTCGGAAGGCTGGAGGGAGTGGGTTTCTGACCTCTTCCGGCAGGACTTGTGATCTGGTGCATCTCCTAAGATGTGCGTAACTTCTGATTCTATTCCCTTGGGTTGAGGTTTTAGCAAATGTTGGTGCTCTGCGCGGCCTTTGTGAGGCTGTGCAAAACTGGGATGGCCACCCAATTTTTCCTTTCACTGCTCACCTTCTCCCCTGCTTCTCCTGGCTCCCCTGGGTCTCCCTGTAAGAAACAAACACTGAGACGCTGCACGTTTTTCCACCCAGTTTCTTCCCAGCGTCATGGAGCAGCGAGACCCCAGTGCAAAGATGTAAAGCAGCGCTCCTCCCTCTTTGCTCTCCTCGCCCAGTCCCTGTCGTTGCTGCAAAAAAGCATCCTGTTTTTTTACTGTACTCAATATTTTCCCTTAGAGAAATTCTTCCCTTCCTTTTTTTGCATGTGTAAAGGGCCACATACCTTGAAATCACAATGATAAAGTAATAACAATGGAACTCAACGCAAGGAAAGCAGCGACGAGGAAATATAAAGTGATGATGAGTGAATAAGACTGGATCCATTCTACCTGGCTGACAATTCAGCTTCACGGCACAGAAGTGACTACTTCCTGGATCATTCCCTGCCCCTTCAAGATCTCCTCCCTCCCTTGCAGGGGTTCCGGCACGGATGCCCGCTGAAGCTGGCACAGAGTGGTGCTGGAAAGATACCTTTTTGCCTTTGGCCCCCTGGTTTCCAGAAAAGCCCTTTTCTCCCTGCAGCGGGCATAGAAGAAAGACAACCACAACATGATTTTTAAGGCGATACTTCGCAGTCTTTACTGAGCCACAAGATAACCCAGAGGGGATGCGTTCACACAACACGTTCATCACGAAAGGCAAAGCACAGGGAGAACTAAGCGTATCCTGTTGCCTGAATGCAGCCACAAGGTCTTCAACTGACCCGTGGACCCAGCCCCTGAAAACCTCCTCAAAATCCTTGCATTGGCTGGTAGGGGCTCCCTGGGGACCCCTGTGACCGTGTCCTTGGCCAAAGATGCCACGAGCACCAGCTGGGTCCTTCTGCATGTTTCAGGAGGGTTACCTAGTTTAATAATAACCTAGGTAATAATAATAATAATAATAATAATAATAATAATCAGTTGCCCTTTATAAGTGGGGCAAAATAAGATCGCCAAACTGTGATTGTGGGGCTGAAAAACAAACTAT